ACAGCCACTCTGGCCTCTGCAAAGGTGGAAATGTAAATATTTTTTCTCAGCAGAAGCTGTGAGTTGGCAGTGCCAAGGCCAGAGGAGCCGGTTCCTGCAGCGGGCACAGGCCGAGCTGTGCTGCCGGTCAGGTTTGCTCCGGCCTCGTTGAATATTCCCTAAAAGTCTCTTCCTCCCTCTGTTTGAAGGACAGGGCTGCAGCAACGCTGCATTTCCTTTTATGCAGAGGGTTCAGGAGCAGAACCACATTGGTGCCATGTCAGAGCTCTGAGGAACCTGGAACATGGAACACAAGGCCCAGGGCAGGTCCCAGGACATGGTCGTGACCCTTCCACACCAACCCTGAGCTCTGCAGTCCCCACACAGGACAAGCCCAAACCACCACGACATCCCCAAATCATGAGGGTTTGTGAGAAGCCCAGAAGGGATTTGGCTTTGCCATGAGGGCTCGAGGGGAACACCTGGAATTATTGATTGGGTCACAGTACTAGTGTTGAGTTCATGCCAGGGGAGGTGACTTGGCTGTGAAATTCCTCACTCCTGCACCTGCCAGCACATCTTGCTCAGCGAGATTTCCCTACCTGTCAGGACTGCTGCTGCCAGGTTCTCCTGCTGCTGGTGTTGGCAGGAGCAGCAGGAGCCCGGCCACCAGCCCTGATCCCGCTGGGAATTGGTTGTGTTTGCTCTGGGCAGGGATTTAAGACTTCCAGTGGAAACAAACGGGGTTTTGTCTGTGCAGAGCAGCTCTGCACCGTGCACTGATAAAGAACTGTCCCAGCAAGAGGCCTGGCTGGCTCCAGGCCAACAAGGGCTGGGATAACCCTCATCCCTCACTCCTTCCCCTCGGCAGTGGCCGGGATTCACTCCAGACATGGGATGAGGTGGTGGCATCATGGTCCAGGTGTCACCCAGGCAGCTGCTGTGTGTCTGTGGTGCTCAGAGGCTGCCGGGGTCCTTGAGGTCTCTGGATGAGGCCCCGTGGGATTTTCCAGCCTCATGGAATATCAGGGGATGCCTTTGGGCTGGGGCCAGGTCCTGTTTGCCAACTCTTTAGGTGCCACAGGGGTAACTCAGCCCTGACACCGCGGAGGTGCCTGTGCAGGCATCTCTTTTGGGATGATCTAGGTGTCCTCCTGCATCCTGCCTCGGGATGCTTCCCGGCTCGGGGAACCATAAAAGGCAAAGCGCAGGGGCAGCGGCTGGGCCGGGAGCTGAGCTGGGAGCTGCGGCTCGCTGCAATGCCAGGCATCCCAGCTGTGTACAAACGGATTAGAGCCCTCCAGCTCTCCGGCTCCACTGCCTTCCAGAGGGTGATCCAAAGGGAGGAACGTTCTGCTGGGAGGGTTATTTAGAGAAATGCCCACAGCGTTAATAGGGGTTTTTGATAAGTTGTGTTTCGGAGTCTCAGCAGGGAAAGATGTGTGTGAGGCTGCTGTCGGGCTTTCTGTCACAGCAATTCCCTTTGCCATAACGTATTCCCACAGATCATTCCAGCCTCTGTGCAGCCGGCACCTCTCCCCCAAACTCTGGGATGCAGCCCAAGGCTGAACGCTGCTTCCAAGGAAGGAGCACTGGGGGAGCCGCTCTGTGTCCGACAGGCGCGGGGCAGGGAGGAGGGAACGGGGCACGGGTTTCCATCTCTCCATGGAAGCCACAGGGAGCTGGCAGAGGTGATCCTGCCCAGACAGCCTGGCAGTAAATCCCTCTGGAAGCAGCAGAATCACAGGGAAGCCAGGATTGCTGCACAGGACTGTGGGGAGCTGTTGCTGGAGGAGCTTGGGGAAAGAGGAGAATCCCTGGAGAAGGACGCAGATGGGAAACAAGTCCTGACTGTGAAGTGCCATGGATCAGCAAATCAGCTGCTGGAGGGGGTTTTTCCAGTCATCCAGGTGGGATGTGTTTGGGTAGGGACCAGCATGGCATCAGCTGGGTGTGGTGTCAGGAGTGACACAGCACGGGTTCCGTCGTGCCAACGGGATGTTCCTCTCCTCTGGCCATGAGGCCAAGGAACGCTGGTTCACATGACCCAGGCTCTGATGCTTCCAAGTGCCGCTGTCTCCCAGAGCGGAGCGAGGAGGAGGAGGCGGTGCTGAAAGCCTGCCGAGACCCAAGGTGGGAAAAATCTTGGCTGGCCAGTCCCAAAGCACTTGGAAGCAGGAATTACGGTGACAGAGCTCCCGGCCATGGAAGCCTCCACCTGGCAGTACTGTGGATATTTACGGGATGACACAAGTAAGGCGAGGGGGAGAGACTGCCCAGCTTCCAGGGGAGACTCCGCAGGGACGTGTGAGGATTATCCACTGCTGCAGCTCAGCCAGGAGGGCCTGGGACACAGCCGGGAGCAGGGGGATCTCCCCAACCTCCGGAGCGACACCGCAGGCCCTGCCAAGAGGTCAGAGATGAGCAGCAGCAGCGGGCAGAGAGGGCAGCGGGGGCCGGCAGGGGAGCTGTGCCTGGAGGAGCATCCCGTGTCCAAGGGGTGCAGGAGAGGCCGGGAGGGAGAGGCCCCTCCTAAGGTGTACGAGCTGGAGGTGGTGCCCAGGCGGGTGGGCACGGGCAGGACGGTGAGGCCGGTGGTCTACAGGCTGGAGGAGAGTGAGTACCGGCGCCTCATCCAGGAGGCAGAAACGGAACCTGAGGAGGAATGGGAAGACACAGAGGACACATTGCTCTTGATTGAGGAGGGCTACGCAGGGGATGGGAAGGTGGCAAGCCCGAGCCTCAGCAGGCTCAACTCCTTGGAAAGAGTCCTGAGGAGGCAGATGAGCCGCTCGGACTCGGAAAGCAGCGTGGAGAACAGGCAAGTGACCAAACTGAGCCCCAAGGGCCCCTCCGAGGGGAACAAACCGACCGTGCCCGTCAGGTCCGACAGCTTCGAGCGCAACGCCATCCTCATGGATTACATCCTGCAAAGCAAGCAGGAGGCAGGCACTCCTGTCTCCTACAGCCCCAGGGACAGCAGCAAGGCAGCCGAGAGCCTGAGGCAGGCGCGGAGCTTCAGCCCCCAGCCCGATGGAACACTTGACCTGTGCCAGAACGGCCAGGCCAGCGAGGAGGTTCCTGCCAGGAAGCCTGAGCTGGACCAGCAGGTAGTGAAGAGCCTGGAGAGAATGGTCCCTGTAGTCACAAATTATCCCTCGCCAGCCAGAGACACCGGGAGGCTTTCGAGACAGAGCAGCAGCCAGCTCCCGGAGAGCAGGGAGCAGCTCGGAGGTGAAGCTGATGAACTCGATTCCTACATCCCAAAAAGAACCCCCCCGGTCCCCCCTGTCAGGACCCACAGCAAGGAGAGCCTGGCTCTGAGTATGAGCAAGGCTGTGGCGCTGACGGAGGCGCTGCTGGAGCCCCTCGGCGATGAGGCCAAGGCTGGCAGGGAGCAGTGGGCAGCGGCGGGCACGGAGCTGCTCCCTGGAGGCAGGACTGCGGGAGGAGGGGGCTCGGAGGAGCCGGAGCGGAAGGGGAGGCAGAGTCAGGAGGATGAGAATGTGCTTAAAGTTGCCGATGCCAAGAAAACCTTCGAAAAGCCCAAGGCGTCGGAGGGGACGGCAGCAGCACCAGCGCCCAAAAAAGGTGAGGAGTGAGGGGTCCCGGCTCTGCCGTGGGGCTGGGGGGTCATGGAGGTCTCTGAGGCAGGTGGGAACACGGCCGTGGATGGGAAGTAGCTGCCGGGAATAGCCAGGTGACAGACGGGGTGTGCTCAGGGCACACGGAATCTGAGGAGGCAGGATGGGAATCAGGTGTCCGTTCAAAGCCCTTGGTGCGGTGAAACTCTTTTAGAGAAAGATTTGTTTTGTCAGACTCCTGTGTAGGAATAAATACAATTTACTGCTTCTCACAGCAGCTACGCTGCAGCAGTGTCCATAGGATGCGTCCTCCCAATGCCATGTGGGATTATTGGCCACCCCAGGCACTCGGTGAGCCAATGTAATTTTATTTTAGCTATAAAAAAGCAGCATTATTTTCTCTGAATTCCTTTTCTCCTGCACTGTGACTTCACTGAATAAGCCTTTCAGGAGAATGACATCAACTTGGAAACCCTTTTAGTGAAAAATATATGGAGAAGTGAACTCTGTTGAAATTTGCCTGGTAAAACAGCAGCTCTGCAGAAATAGGAGGGATAGAAATGAGTGTTTGTGTGAGAGTTTGGATCCCGCAAGGAGCCACCCGACCCACGCTGCTTAACTCCCATCTTCTGTTCAGTGACAATCTGCAATTGTGCATTTCCTTATAAGGGAAAATAAGTGTTTTAAGGCACAGGAAATCTGTGGTAGCTTTGAACTGAGTTTGCTTAAAAAATAGGTGTGATCGGTTACTGTCGCGACGGAGTCGGAGCGTGAACGTGCCACAGTTTGTGCGTGTCAGGGATGACAAAATCCCAGCAGGGATGGCAAACAGCTCCCCTGCTCTCGGGAGGCAGCTGAGGACACATGTAGAGAAATAGAGGTGGGAGATATTTGTCACTGCAAGCGCTGCCAGGCTCAGAGCACGGGGAGGGATGGTGGGATCTGAGTGTGCATCTCCACACTCCTGGAGAGGGAGCTTGGCTGGTGTCACTGGGGCACTGCGATGTTTGATCAGCTCATCCTTCCCTGGGTGGAATAGGTCTGGCTGAAGAAGGGGGTAAGAAGGGATACAAGGAATCAGCTCCCTCCCCAAGGCAATAGCAGCTGCAGCCCAATCCCTCCTGACATATTTTCACCTCCTTGTTCCCCAGAAGAAACAGGGAGGGATAAGAGACAATATTCCAGTGCTGAGCGTGGAAATGTTGCAATAAAAACATCACAGACTCAAGGATTGGTTGTGGTTGGGAGGGATCTCAAAGCCCATCTCGTTCCACCCCCTGCATGGGCAGGGACACCTTCCATGGGAGCAGATTCCCATTTTGCTCTATCCATGACATTCTGTTGGGGTTTTGAAAGCCGGGTTAAACATCGATCTTCCTAAATCCCAAACATGGACACCTCACCTGGATTTACCCTTATGTGTTTCCTTAATTATACCTCTGATTTTTCCAGCACCTTTGGTCCAACCTGGTCCTAGACAGCAGGGAGAGAAACAGAAGGAGATGGCAAAAGAATTCCAAAGTGCTTGAATAGTGAGGCTCTGTGATCAGTGCCCAGGAACCTCAGCACCCAGCCCTGCCTCCTTCCCTGCCTGCCTGATTTTTTCCTGCTGTTCAGGATGCTAGGAATTGTCAATCCCAGGATATTCGTGTTGTAAATAAAATACAACTTGCTTATTGCTTTTTGCTTTTTTGCTTTTTCTCTTTTTTTCCTTTTCTTTTTTTTTTTTTTTTTTTTTTTTTTTTTTCAGTTCTGCTTTCTTGTCTCTCTCCTCCTCGTTAATCACCCAGAGACAGCAACAAAGGAAATCCCATCTGTTGCAAGCAATTTCTTTGGGTTTATTTGGTGGCCCAACATTTTAATTAGGTATTGGGACCTACCTCCCCTTCACTGCAGAAATAGAAAAGAAATGAAAATGTATTTCACAATCCTGTCTAATGATGGAGAAAAATACATGAGGAAATGGATTAGCTTGAAATTAGAGGTTTCTTTTTGCTGTAAAAGCTCATTTTTTGATGTTTTTCTTCCAGTTGAGTTGGGAGGGATGTGTCTGTCACCAATATTACTGCACAAAAAGGTGTGAGAATGGGGATATGCAGTAATAGATGGGCTGGATGAAATTTATTTTAAATCATTAATAACAATAGCATCAATTATTAATGCACATCCTGGCCTAATGTTCACTCATTCCTTATCCATCTCCAGCATCCTCCAGCCCTTCCAAGCAGTACAGGAGTGGTGTCAGCGCAGGATTCGCTCACCACAGTGGATTTTATTGCCCTCTGGGGAGGGGGGTTGTGAATGACCCCAGTTCTGGGGTCTGGAAGTAGCACAGTGATGGTTCCACATCACACAGAGCTGGGAATAAAGCTCGGGGTGCTGGCTCCCAACCCTCTCCTTTAATCCACCTTTTCCTCTTTCCTTGCCACCACCCTCAGACACTTCTCCCTTCCTGGCTGGTGTTTGATGGAACATTTTGCTCTCATTATCTTCATTCCCTAATTCTACAGCTCCCCTTTCTGGCCAAGGATTGAATAAGGCCGGTCCGAAGGGATTTTGCTCTCCCTGTCTCTCCAAACCCTTTGCAGGCTCTGGGGAACGCTTCCCTGGGCAGAGCACATCCTCCCAGCCAGAGACAGAATCGATTTCCCATTATCCAGAGCCCTTACGTGGTGGCTCTGAGAACGATTTCATCTTGGCAGCTGCTCAACAGTTGATGCTCATGGAAATGTCTCTCACAAACCAGGACTGGGTGCACTTTCATAAAGCTGCCCCCTGCCCACGGACATGGAGGAATCAAGGCAGAAAAAAGTAAATTAATGCTGAGAGTAAATCCAATTCCACACAGGGAAAGTGGAGGAGGGAGGGTTTGTCACTGCAATCAGTTCAGATTCTCTGAAATCTCAGAATCCCAGAATGGTTTGGGTTGGAAGGGACTTTAAAATCCATCTTATCCCAACCCTCTGCTATGGGCAGGGAACATTTCCCTGCACTAAAAATCACTAAATTCCAATAATGTTCAGTGAAAGGTAAGATCACATACCTGATTTCAGCAGGAACAGCTCTTCCCAATGCTGCTGGGCCTGGCCTCGGTGGGATCCCTAAATTATGGAAGCCATAGAAGGAGAAATATAAAAATATTCAAATTTAATGTGGGAGAACCTGGTAAATAAATATTATGATAAATTAAATATAATAGCAATAATAATAATAAATCAAAAGGCTTCAGGAAATAAATAGATAAATAGGAACATAAAAGTCCTTGAAAAGCTGCATAACTCGGATACCTGCAAACCCAGGGTTCAAGACTGTCCTGACTGGCATATTTTGCTTGATTTAGAAGTTAAGCTGCAAAATAACATTAAACTTTAAATTGCTGATCTCTCTAAACCCTCCCTAAGCCATTTCCCTCCATTCAGAATAAATTTAGCAATGAGGATTTCAGCAAAATGAAGTGTTTGAGGCAAATTCATCCCTCCAGTGACCTCACTGGTTCCAAAAACGGGGTTTTGTCACCCCTTTGGGATGGCTCAGGGACACCAAACTGAATAAATTAATCAAAATTTCTCCTTAAAAAAGGTGCCTCAGGTGTTTCTTTAGCTCTTCTCAACTATAAACATGGCCTGGGTGGGGAAGGCTGTGGGACACAGCTGACGTGGTCCTTGTGATGCTCCTCAGGCTCATCCCAGGAGCAAAGCAGGGGGATTTATTGCAGGGATGGAATTGATGCATATTTGCAGGAGGCTAAATTTAGCAGCTGACATAAGTTTCAGAGGTGGAGTCTGTAGCCACGGTGCCGTTTCCGTATAAAGGCTGTGAGATAGTTTGCAGCAATCCTGCAGTGATGTAGCTGAGGGGAAAATATGTGGGATGGCTAAAAGTGGATTTTTTTTTAATAAATCCTGAGTTTCTGCAAAAATGTGCTAACTAGGTGCTAGTAAAATGGGGCAAACTTTGGTGTGTTGCTCCTTGTAGCTGTAAGGATTTGGTGGTTTTCTTTTAGAAAAATTAGGGTTTGTGGCATATTTTGACAAGTTGTTTGGCTGGCAGCACTGTGGATAACACTTAAATTGTTTGTTAGGGTGGTTTTACTCATCTGAAGTGATGAAAATTAGTGGTTACAGCAGAACCAAAGAGCACACATAAAACCTGAGCTGTTTCTTCTGTTTGTTGGAGAATTCAGCCTAAAATTCCTGTAATTTCTTCATCACCTTGTGATCTAAACAGCTTGTTAATCCTAGACAGGATCTGAGTGTTCTTTGGAGTGTTTCCATCCAGCTGTTTTAGGAAGCACTGGTAGAAATTCCACAGGTATTATTTCCACCTGAGTCCATCCTTAGTGACTCTTTGAGCAAGGAATTTCCATCTCTGCAGGATCCACCCTTCCCAAGGCAGCTCTTGAGAGGATTAGGCTTCAATCAGATTTCTCAGGACGAATTTCACTTGCTGTCTGTCCCCTGTGTGCCACTTTCTTTTCAGCTGGAGGCCAAAAATCTTCCTTGGTTCCCCTTCTGAGCTGTTCTGCAGTGCTGGGTGCTGCTGCCTTGGTTCTTGTCTTCCAGTCCAGGCTAAAGCATGGCTTGGTACATGATTAAAATATCAGTTTATAAAATTTAACCCCCTAGAAGTTTGAGACTTCTAATAAATAAAGGATGGGCAGGCAGGACTCTCAGCTCTATCACTGACTCATTCTGTGACCTTCAACACGTCACGTACATACGTGGAAAATGTGAATCACAACCTAAACTCGCTAAACTCTGGGTTACCTGCAGGTCTGTTCCAAGGCTGCTTTTGTTTTCTTTTCTTTTGCATTTAATGGGATTGTTTGAGGGAGCGGGGTGGTGTAATTGTGTTGGGCTGGCTTTCAGAAAGAAGCTATTGATTTATTTCAGGGTAATTGTTGTCATGGGCAGGGGTGCAGCCTTGCCACTCCAATCTCTGCGTGTATAATATTTTTATCAAGTTGTTTGCTTAGTAGGTGAGAGAGGCTTTCCTGCTTGTTGGATCAGCGGTTACATTTAGTGTCAAAGGTTAATAAATTCAGGATAACATTTGTTTAATCTGTAGCTACTGATGTTTCCATCAGCTGTGACAGTCAGACCAGGACAAATGTATCTCCCTGAGGTTTTTCCGAGTGTTTTAACACCAGCTATCACTCACAGGGGGTAATTCGTGGTCCTGTGACAGCTCCGTGGGGGAAGAGGAGGGCTCTCAGTTCAGCTCCTCACGACACATATTCCTCCAAATTCTGAAGGATTACAAGAGCAATTAGCGGGGTGATGCTCCCCGAAAGATCACCCCCCTCTTAAGCATCAAACCACATGCAAATGAACGTGCAAACGTCGGCCCAAACGGATGAGGAAGCTCGAGGAGTTTTGGTTTTGGCCATGTATGGTAACACTGAGGGCTGTGGGCTCTGCTCGGGTGTTGTTCACCCGCCCCTCGGGCTCCCTGAGGCCGCAATGGCCCCGAGTGTGGCGGTGTCACCTGTGTGCAAAATGCTCGCCTGACCTGTCAGAACAGCACAGATACAAACAAACCTTACACCTCAAAGCGCAGCGTCCCCGAATTGTCTTTACCGCCAGTGCAATGGGGGGAAACCTCTGGTTTCAAACCTCTGTCCTGCGTGTCTCGTTGAAGTGTGTCTCTTAAGGGTTGAGCTGTGCAGTTTTCAGCAGGGGCTTTTGTCACGGTCCTTTTTTCACCACAGCCACTGTGATTTGGTGTGACAGCGAGAGGTGACGCGGTTGTTTTTGTGTGGAGCTGCTGGTTCTCCTCAGCGTTGCCTCTGAGGACAGCAGGGTCATCTCACCGCTCAGGGCAGACACGGCCGATCCCTCAGGGAGGACACGATCACTCCCCCAGGGAGGACATGACCGGTCCCTCAGGGAGGACATAACTGGTCCCTCAGGGAAAACACAATCGGTCCCTCAGGGAGAACATAACTGGTCCCTCAGGGAAAACACAGTCGGTCCCTCAGGGAGGACATGACCGGTCCCTCTTAGGGATGAGATGATCCGTGCCTCAGGGATGACATGATCGATCCCTTAGGACAGACACGGCCGATCCTTCAGGCATGAGATGACCAGGAATGACATGAGCGGTTCCACAGAACGGACAGGACTGGTTCATAGGGCGGTCATGGCCGGTCCCTCAGGGCGGACACGATCGACCCCTCAGGACCCTCATGACCTCTNATGCCGCGGCGGGGACAGCTCTGGGGGGCTTTTGTTCGGCGCATTTTCGTTTCTTTTTATTTTTTCCCTTCCTTCTTTTCCGCCCGGCGATGCAGCAGCCGCTCGGTGCCACCGGCGTGTGCCGCCCCCGGAGCGCCCGTCCCCGCCGTGCACCATGGCAGAGGACAAAAGATGAGAGCCCTGATGGGGGTTTAGTTTGGGTTGATTTTTCGGAGGCTCCTGTAGAGCAGGTCCTTGTCACGCCGTTATTAGGGGCTCTTTCGAGGCTGTGCAGGAGATGTGTGGACTGCTGGGTTGTGTGACATGGTATGGGGATCCCAGAATGGTTTAGGCTGGAAAGGATCTTAAGGACCATCTCATGCCATCCCTTTGCTGTGGGCAGATGTCCCTGGGCTTTGTTTTCCTATGCAGGAAGCCACATTGTTTAACAGTGATACGCCAAAGGCTGAAATTTAAAGGTTAGTCCATACCTGTGCTTTATGAAATTCCCACCGATTCTGTTAACAGCACGAGGGAAGGTCTTGGACACACGGGCAGGTGTCCGACACCACCACACAGAGGTTCAGCTGTAGGACATTGTGATGCTGTAACTGACTGACTGCACAGGAGACCGGTCTGAAAAAAGAAGAAAATAAAAGAAGGCAGTGAAAGGTGCCGGGAAACAAAAGTAAACCCCATGGAAGCAGTTTTATTGTTGAAGATAAGTGCTATGCGTTAGGGTTGGGGTTTTTTTAGCAGCTGGAGTTGGTCTGAGCACTTCTGTTCGTGCAGATGTGCGTAGGGATTACTGGAAGCAAGACCAAGGACGGTGGCAAAATCAGAGAGGGATGTTCTGAACACACCAGGCTGCGGTTGATTTTTCAGTTCGCTGCTAAATTTCCCAATTTTGTTTTAATTTTAGGCCAGGCTGTTCCCAAATTACCTGGCACCATCCTCTCCCTCTGTGTGCCTCCGTGGCATGCATGAGGGAAGCTCTAGAGTGTGGGAAAATGGTGTGAACTGGCACAGCGTGTCCTGGGAGAAGCGTGTTTGGATGTGGGGAAAGCAGCGGGTGTTGTGTGCGGGAGGCAGGAGAGGGTTTATTCCATTTTCATTTGAATAACGAGCATTGAATCATCTTTTCTGCTCAAGAAGGGGGGAGGAAAATCCAGATGGCTGTGTGCTTACAGGAAGGTTTTATTACAGCTAATAGTGGTGTTTGCTAAGGACTGTGTACACAAAGGTAGAAGATCAAATACTTTTGTGGCAGTGCCTGTTTATTTTGGATGTGTGTGTTTTTCTGTGTTTTTGGTAGCCCCAGTAAGACCTGACACGGGGACATGTCAGGCAGCATTTGCTCAGTGTTTGTTTCAATACAGCACTTCATAATAGTAATTTTTCAATGGTCACTTGTAGCCTTTTATCCAGATTGCTTTAATCAGCATTTGTGTTCTCTATTGGCATTGCTCTGTCTTCTCCCGAGCTGTCTTTTCAAACATCATTGGATTTTTTCAAGTGAAATCTTCATGCTTATTGCATCTGTCACTTCTGGGATTCACTCCAAGCGAAAGGCAGGGATTCAGTTTAATGGCAATGAAGGAGGAATGTGCAGAAGGGGGAAATATCAGCTTTTCCCTGGGTGATGCAGCACGGGGTGTCGAGCTCTGCCCTCGCTGACATCGTGCTGGCCACGTCCAACATTCGAGTTTACCGATGGCTTTATAAAACGGCTCATTAAACCAAAACGTTGTGTTGTGATGGGGAGGGAATTTATGGTCCTGGGTTTCATTTGGTGATCGATTCCGAGGAATATCCCTGGAATGCCAGCTTCCTATTCTGAAAGACATGAGCAAAACACTTCCTGGCCTGAGTTTGCAGCTCGGTGAGGTCATCAGTGCACCACTCCCAGGGCCAGGAATGTCCTCTCGGGCAAGCTCACAGGCACATTTTCACTTGACTTTTAAAGTCTGGGTTTGTTTGTTTTGATTTTGCTTTACTGAGGCTTTTGTGATCATCTCAGCCCTTCTCCGAGGATGTGTTGGAACAGAAACTCACTGAGGATTTGAAGTGCCCCAGTTTAAGCCTTTGCAGGGCATAGGAGCAAGAATTAAATGTTTGTGCTCTCTTCTATCTCGCTCCCTGTAGTCTCCCCCAGTTAATATTTTTGGGCTGCCGTATTCTGGTGGGTAGCTCTGAAATGGGTATGATTAGAAATTGTTTAGAGCTTCAGTTTTAGGCAGCTCCTGGAGCTGTGTGTGGAGAGTCAGGCTGCTGGTGGCTTGGGGCTGACAGGATGGGAACTGCTGAGCTTTTGTCACGTCCTGCAGTTGCAGTTGCAGGTGGTGCTGAACACCAGGTTAAAATGAAGCAGAAAAAGGTTTTAGGCTTTAGCTGAGTGACTCAGAAAAGCAGCAGTGAAAGTCCATTTTTCTGGATGTGTTGGCTCCACCAGTATGGTTGGGAATTGTTTACTGGGCCCTTTCTTTTTATCTGTTAATAGGATTGCTTTGTTCTGCTTTTCCTCCTGTGAGTAATCGTGCAAAAAAATGGATTATTTGTTTCTTTTTTGAGGTTATAATTGTTCAGTACATGACTTTTTGTGGCTTTTCTCATCTCAAACCACACATAGGCATGTGAAATACCAGCGTGACACAGAACTGCTCAGCTGCTCCCAGGATCCACTGGCAGCTTTGCAGGGCTTGTCCTTGGAGGCCCAAATTGTCTGGAGAGGATCCTAATGGAATATACCAGCCATTAGTTCTACACCAGCCATTAGTTGTGTTTGTGGGGTTATGCAGAGAATATAAATCCAATCAGGATTAATGGCTGGAGGTAATGATGTAGCTGGAAAGTAGAAGATGGCTGTTGGGCAAGTGGATAATTTTACTTTTCCCCCCTCCCATGAAATTCCTGATGCCAATAAGACGGGTGGGATCCCTTGGATCAGACACCTTCCTAAAGGGTCACAAAGTGCTCCTCAAATGGAAGAGGATTTTGTGACAGAACGTCCTGAAAACTTCAAAATCCTGCTCTGTGGGTCAGGAACTTGTCAGAGAAGTATTGAAAATGGCATCTGCTGCTGCCTCCAGAGGGGAAACCTGTGGTTTTTGAAGGCTGCTGATGGGCCCATGGTGGATAGAGGAGATCTGCTTGGTCTGGAAGTGACAAAGCGTGGCCTTTTGGACCATTTCTCCTCTGTGCTGATGACTTAGAGGGAGACTCAAGGAAGAATCACCTGCACTAGGGAAAGGACAATTTCTTCAGCATGACCACTTTGCTTTGTCTCAATCTATTTTTGCTGGTGATAACAATAAGTGATCTCTAATCTGCTTTTTGCTGAGCCTGTGATGACGCTGGAGGTCTGGCTCTTGGTGGGAGACATTGCAGTGACTCTGACATTGAGCTGGGCCTCTCAGCCCAGCATAATTAAGTTTGTCTTGTTTTCCTTTTTTAATAATTGAATTTGAAAGAGCAGTGGAAATAAAGCAGTGGTGGGATCTGATTTAAAGTGATTAAGGCTCAGCCTGATGCTGAGATGAGCTCCCAGCTCGCCTTGGAGTGTTGCTGAGCTGTGCTTGAAGCCAAGTGTTCCCTTTAGGAAGGACCAGGGTTTCCCTGTGGTTTTCCAGATTTTGGCTGCCATCTATGTAGGAACAAGCACACAGGTAATAATTCTTCTGAGCTGAATATTAAGGCAGCCATTTCTGCATTTTTAGCAGATGTGCCTGAGCAGGATTTCCTAAAACTCCATGGGAATGGTGTGCCTGAAACTACTCCTTGTTTGCATCCCTGTATGAACCTGAGCAGTGCATTACACCTGCAGTTCCTGGTAAATGGACTTCAAATCACTCATTTCTGAGTATTTGGAAATAAGGGAACTTCCCCTCCCTCCCCCCTGGTTCTGCATATAGTTGCCATAGAGACCGTGTTCCGGAGTCCTTGAAAATCCATTGTTTCTCCCAAATAAACATAAAAACCTGCAGTTTTAAAGCAGCACATTTTGAGTGTCCCATTCCTGAGCATTCCTTCATCAATAATTGTTTTGACAGGACAAGGAGCAAATGGACTGAAACTGAAAGAGGGGAAATTTGAGTTTAAGGACGGATTTCTTCCCTGTGAGGGTGGCAAGGCCCTGGCACAGGGTGCTCAGGGCAGCTGTGGCTGCCCCATCCCTGGAAGTGTCCAAGGCCAGGTTGGATGGGGCTTGGAGAAACCTGGGATAGTGAAAGGTGTCCCTGCCCATGGCAGGAGGTGGAATGGGATGAGCTTTAAGGTCCCTGCTAACCCAAACCAGTCTGTAAACCTGACAGGGACTTGGCATCCTGCAGTGTGCCAGACCTGGATGCTGGACAAACTGATAATGGGTGTAATTAGCAGCTCCGGGGATTAGCAGGCAGCAACAAATTCAATCCCTACTAAGCACCGTGTCCCTTGGGAACTGGGCAAACTGGCCATGCTGGGCAGATGATGGATTGATAGGGAAGATTGTCATCAGCAAAGGTTCAGTGCTCAGGCACCTGCTCAGGGCTGGAATTACCTCCTGGAGTGGCTCTTTTCACCCCCCTTTTCACTTTAAATAGTTAAAAATCCCCCGTGTTTTGCTGCTTCCTTCTGGAATCTGGATCCCCCCAGCTGACTCAGGGTGTCTGCTTGGCATTTCCTTGGCATTTTTCATCATACCTGTGTGAAACAGATTGGTATCCTTCTTTCCAAGCTGGGAATGTGATGTAACACATTTTACTCATGGTCTGGCAGGGTACTAGGCTGGGAATACTTGTAGCACGTACTACCAAGTGGAGTTTTACACATGGTTCAGGTATTTGCCCCAGCACATGTGGCAGGGATGTGTACATGTGGATAAATGACCATTGTTACACCTTTAAACTCTTAATTTCTTACTTAATTCCCTTCTGCAGTACTTGTATTAATGATACCATATCTTGGAAGCTGGAGGCCCAAAGCTGTCTCATTCAGA